CACCTCAAGTGCTTAGGCACAGAAAGTAGATAGCAAATGCTAGAAAACGGAACGTTACTAATTGTCCATTGTTACGGTTCAAAATCCATATGAATGTACTGGGATGCTTTTGCAACAAAAATAATATATATAGTATTGACAAAACTTTTAATTTACTTTAATTTATTATTTAAGTATAATAAGAATAAAATCTATTAAAAGATCACTCCGTATACTCCGTTTTGGGTAGAAGTTTAATAGGAGATCCATTTCTCATGTTCTGTGAGTTGACTAGAATGAAAAGATACCTTTTATAAGTCCATTGTAGAAGTTTAACCTTTTATTAAGTATTTCTTTCTTGTTTTGAAGATTCGTTCTGGTCCTCTGTAGATATATTTTCCATTGTTTTTCTTAATTAGTTTGTAGTTAAGTTCTAGGAGCCTAAAAGGGACAAAGAAACGTTTTGAATTCTATAAATGGTTTCAGGGTCCATTTTCTTTGTTTATTTACATTAATTATAACATTATGTCATTCAAATTTATTCAGGTAGTTGTCTAATTCATTACAAATAATTAAAACCCCAAATAATCTGGGTAATTTTGGAATTAGGTAGGTGATTGTGAGAAATTGGCTAATAATATTTTAAATTACCTGTCATATTTTATTATCATTTCCTGTAGAAGTCATTAATTTTGTTGATGCATATCTTGCTTCCATTTTTCATTCTTCCAGTATCATCCCTTCATGAAACATGTGTTTTTGAAGATCTTTTTATAAGGATATAAGGTACTAGAAACGAAAAAGACATTGAACATTTATTTAGTATTGCTATTTGTTGGCATACTTAATCTCGCAAGAGGATTTTATTTTTAATTAAGCAAAACTTACTTCTAAAAAGGCCACATTTCAACACAGGTACCGTAGTTTCTCATTTATCACTTTTGTCCTTCCTTAATATAAGATTGTATATATAAAGTAGTATTTTGTATTTTAGGTCTTCTTTTTCTTTTCTGGCTATCGTAGTCATAGATAGTTTCATTTCATTTTTATTGTTCGATTAATTTACATTGCAACAGTTACGTGTAATTCCGGTCATCACATTAATTTGAGGTAGTCTCAAAGGCAGCTGTATTTGAGAACATTACTGCTGGATAGTAGTAAACTATTGAGACACGATTTTCATCCCTGACTCACTGGAATTACCTACAAAGGAAAGAAAGGACGATATTTTAATTGGAGGCTAAGATAAGTGGACCTATTCATACCTTTGAATCCAATAGGCTATTTTGTCAAGTAACCCTTCCAAAGAGGTCTTCGAATTCAACCCTTGCCTAGGTAGGATAGTGTCAATCTCCAAGGTAGGAATTTTACTGATTATACTAGCTCAAGACTATCAGATAGAAAGTGTTATCACACAAAATATCTCCACCCTCAGTGTTCGGGAATATTCTGAAAATTGTATATATTAATAACCAGTTTTAACCTTTTATTTTGTATATATTAAAATCATTTATTTTGTAAGCCACCCAAGATAGATATCTATTTTAAACGGTACGTAAGCTGTATATTAAATTCAAGGACTTACCTATACAACCGAATTATAGCTAGGTATTGAATAAAACTTCAAGATTCCCATTTAATACACGTTTTAATTATATACCATAACCTTTAAAATTATTCAATATTCTTCTTTTTCATTTGCGGTATCCATCACATAAATTTACCCAGGTAAATAATCAATTGTATCTCGGTACAATCGGTTATTCAGCCAAATTCGAGGACAAAAAAGGAAAAATCACCTACGACCCTCTCTTTGACTGAGCAGCACAGAACACTTACTCTAGAGAGTTAATTTTTATATTGTTTTGCTCTGTACGTCATAGCAAAACATAGCAAATATAAGGCACCGTAATTTTACCAAAAAAATTTACAAAGTGCAGTTCGAACAAACTTAATAAGAGGATGTGGTGCTATAGTATAACAACGAGACATTTATTTAAAAAAATTCAACAACTATCCTTCGAAGTACTCTCCATTCTGTTGAATACACTTATTCCATCGCTTTATCCACTTATCATAAACTTCTGAGAAACCATTTTTTGATAGTCTGTTTAGTATACCCATCACAGCGTTGTTGAGCTCTAAATCCGACTCAAATCTTTTACCTCTCAATTCTTTTATGACTTCAGGAAACAAATGGAAGTCACATGGAGCAAGGTCAGGAGAGTAGGGGGGATGAACCATAATTTCAACCCCTAATTCTTCAATTGTTCGTTGACAAATCATTGATCTATGAGCCGGAGCATTGTCGTGATGCAGCGTCCAGCCAAAGTCCTGATAAAGCGACCTTTTTTTCTTTAATTTTGCCTTTAAGGATCCTCGAAGTACATTAGAATAGTACTCCCCTGTTACTGTATATCCTCTAGGTACAATGTGATCGTAAATAACGCCAAATTTATCAAAAAAAAATCAGGTGCATCACTTTACCAGCTCTTTTAGCAGTTTTGGCCTTCTGCGGTCTTGGGCTGCCTTTATGCTTCCATTGCATACTTTGAGACTTCAATTCAGGATCGTAATGATAAAACCAACTTTCGTCACATGTAACCACATTATTTAAAACTGTGGGTTACGTTGCAATTGCCTTTTCCACTGCTGACAAATTGTCACTCGATTCGCTTTTTGTTTATCGGTCATCACTTTTGGAATCCATCTTGCCGCGATCTTCCGGTACTCTAAATATTCATGAATAATTTTTTGAGTGGTACCGTAAGACAAATTAACATTGTCAGAAATTCGTTTTATGCAAATCCGGCGATCATTTTGTATCAAGTCGTTAATTTCTGCAATTTTTGTGTCATTTCTCGCAGTTTGTGGTCGACCGGGACGAGGTTCATCTTCAACTGATTCACAACCGTCTTTAAACTTTTTATGCCACTCAAACACTCTACATCGTGATAAACTATTATCTAGATATGCACCTTTAATCATTTTAAAAGTTTCAGTTGGTGTTTTACCCAATCGAACACAAAATTTTATCGCGTATCTTTGCTCCACTTTCATTTTTCGATGGGTACGCAAAACACTGACAATTCAATAATTAATTTGTAACAAATGTCAAAAGTTAAATCAAAGCCTACTTGCGGGGTAGTACATTAAATATAAGGCTTTCATGTCTCATTTTTTGGGTTATAAAATGTTACCTCTGAAAGAAGTTATAGCACCAGTCTCGTTATATACTGATATATCCTCGTATATACGTGTTTTCAGTTGAAGCAGATTTCCAATTAGGTTCTTTACAATTCAACACTTAAATAGTAAAATATATGAAAAAATAACGTAATTATGATGAATTCTAAGTGACGTCTATTCTATGCCATCAATGCGACGTCAAAAACACGTTACTGGTTAGGATATTGTATTTCGGATAAACAAATACTAAAAAATTACGCCATAATGACGAGTATGTATTGACGTCTAATTAAAGTTGCAAAAACGACGTCAAAGTAACGTCATTAATTGGGATAGTGACGTTTTTGACGAGTAAATCCCAAAAAATCACGTCATAATGATGGCACTTTGCTGCTTGGGACTCGGCTTATGCCTCGTGCGACAATATTTCCTACTCGTGTGAAAAATTTCACTTTTCACATTAAAATACATTAGTTATTTTAAAAATGGTTATATAGTCGTTTATGTATCCTTTAATATTTAATAAAATTTTTACCACTCAGTCTAACCTCGTACTCTAAAAAAATTGAGCAAACATTATAATGTATCTGAGTTGTGCAGAATTATATTCTTTTTTTTTTTTTCTAAAAAAATATCCCCGGCAGCTCAGACACGTTTCCCCGCCAGATGTTCGCCATTTCGGCGCCGACGCGCCATATATATTTCTGTTTACGAGAAAATCATATTTCAGTAATATTTTTTGTTCGTCCCGGCGCAATTTAATCGAATTAAATCCGCCATGCAATCCGACAAATCTGTCCGACGTGTGAATGTGCCATACCTAAATAACGCAATTAGTCGACACTAATTTTATTTAAACTCTCCTGCATGGCGACGATAATTTGAATTGTAATTAAACTCCCGAACTTTTCATTCAATACCCTTTTGTTTCAAGATTAAAGTTAATCGGATTTCAAGAATACAGTCGGTTTGAACGGAGACTGGCTGGAATTGAATCAACTTTTCATGGCTGGACCTTTAGCAGAGCCAGAGAGAAAGGGAGGTAGAGCAATAAATCAGTTGACATTTCAAGCGTTTTCTGTATTGTTTTTAAAAGGCGCATTGCAAATTTGTTACTGAATTTTACTGGGGATGTTAGTTTGTTGTTTTTTTTCTTAAGTAATAAATTTCAAATATCAAACTAACATAAAACTAATCCGTCATTCTGACAAATAAAAGGACATGGTTTGTTTTATATTTTTTTGAGTTTTGACTATAATTAGTTACAATGATTGAGATAGAATAAAGGGGCGATAATATGGCAATGCTAAAAGTATCCGCACCTTTGCATTACACGTTTGTCAAAGATTATGTAAACCACTTCTTAGATATCGTTGGAATCACTTGACTATGAAGATTACCTACAATATATAAAAGTGCCATATCAATAGTTCTAATAAATTCCGCACCAGGCGCCATCAACAGTACTGCCATATCACATAACATTTTTTTGTTTTAAGCTATCTGTGTAGATTTCACATTACATGTATCATTAATCAGTAGAGACATCTTGGGTGGAATAAATAAAACTAGAATATTCTAGGAAGTATTTTCTAACTAGTTTTAGCTCATTCTCAGTTTCGTATGAATAACAATTTGCTAAAAGTAGTTAGTTTATACTAGGGCTTACCAGAATAAACTGAGCCCTAGTAAATACTTAGATGCTGCGCTTTTAAGTCTCAACACGAAATTAGGGTTGTTGCTTGTCTAGCTCACTTCTATTTTATCTGTCTGCAAGTGAGGACGTATAGCTTAGTTTTTGCAAGTGAGGAGAAGCACGTGTAGTTGACATGATGTCTGATGAAGAGTTTGATGAAAAAGTTGATGAGGTGGGCAAAAGCGTTGATAAGGCGTTATTGGTGAAATTAGTGAATAAATATGCAGTTGTGTTAGACAAATCTAAATTACCTTCTGTGATGGAATCGAAAACTAAAGCCTTAACTTTATTGACTGGAGAATTTTGTAAAGTTACAGGAAAGGTAATAACTGTAACGCAGATGAAAAAAATCTTATATAATATGAAAACTGCTTTATAAAGGAAAACTGATTTGAAAGCTACGGGGAACAAAGTGATAAAACCTTAAGACTGGGAAAAGGACATATTAACCATCATGAAGAAAGAAGAAAATCCTGTATTCAGCAAAGTGCCCGGTGCCTTGTTGGTTGGTGTAAAGAGAAAATCGGAAATGGAAGCAGAAAAGAGCCAAAGTAATAATCCTACAACTCACACTGACTGTAAATTGGAAAGTACAGCTTCAAAAGATAAAGTTAAAATTCAAAAAACAAAGGATATACTCAACAGGTATGAGACTAAAGAAACAAAGGATTTATCTGTGTCAGAACTTCAACGTCTAGTTCTTCTCCAGCAATTCCAACTAAATAAAGGTCAACTTGAAAAAAAAAAGCTGCAATTAGAGCAACTTCAACAACTTGGAAATGCCAACACTCCAGCAGTCAACAACACTGATGGCGATTTAGGTGACAAATATATTGTATTGACAGGTTTGTTTTTTTTCTCCTGGGCTCGTCTGACTTGTATCTCCGAATAACACTGAAGCCTATTGGCTTATTGTGTTTTACCCCATGTTAGTTTATAGCACTCACTCTGTCACCTTTGTACCTTGTACAAGTTTGTACAGATCCTTGGGTGAGCGGGTTCTATACGTTGTTGGATGAACCTGGGGTTGTACAAAAAGAGCCTCTCTTTTGCGATCTAGAGCTTCGCATTCTCACAGTATGTGTTTGGCCGTTTCTGGTTTCTTGTGACATAGTCGGCACATGAGTTCCCCATTGTACATGCCAATTTCGTCCAAGTGTCCCTTTACTGGGGCGTGCCTAGTCATGAACTCTGTTATCACTTTCAACTGGTTTCTATTCATTGAGAGTAGTTCTCCAGCTCTTTTGGGACATGGTTTGCCTATCAAGGCTTTTCCATGTGCCTGTTTTGGGGTATTTCCCCAATAGTTGATATGTTGTTCTCTAATCCAGTCGTTTATGAAACCCCGGACTGTACTTTTTGGTACTCCTAGGTTTGTGTCTGGTTCCGGTGTTTCTTCGGACCCTCTTTTTGCAAGTTCGTTCTTCCTTTTCGTTGTCTTCGATCCCTTAGTGACCTGGCACCCAAAGGTGTCACGACAAAAGGACGCGGAAAAAAGGACGCGGGAAAAAAGGACGCGGGGAAAAAAGGACGCGGGACAAAAGGACGCGGGAAAAAAGAACGCGGGACAAAAGGACGCAGAGCAAAAGTAATCCCTACAATTTTGAAGCCCTGTACTCAAAGAAAAATCTATACTTTTGCAAATGTTATAAGCATTTTTATATATTAGAAAGGATTACTTTCTGAAGATTATAAAAGAACTACTGACGGTGAGCTGTTCCTATTATTTGATAGTGGTCCAGAAGAACAGCGTATTTTGTTATTTTCAACCCAAAGAAATTTAAGTTTTATGGAACAATGCGATCATTGGTATGCCGATGGAATATTTCTTTTTTCAAATATACACAATTCATGGAGTGCGGCTATAGTAATGTAATCCCGACCGTGTTTGCACTTCTCCCGAACAAAACACAAGAGACCTATACACGTGTTTTTCAACAATTAAAGGTGTTAAATCCGGACCTGCGGCCTCTAACAATAATGATGGACTTTGAAAGAGCCGGAATGAACGCTGCACAAACGGAGTTCCCAAATGTGAGAATCCGCGGATGTTTTTTTCATTTCTCGAAGTGTATGTGGCGCCATATTTAAAGTGCAGGATTACAACGCAGATATATTAAGAATTCTGACTTCGCTCTTCACCTAAGACAATTGACAGCTCTTGCATTTGTTCCAGAGAACCATGTAGGCAAAGTGTACGAGGAGTTACTCGATAGCGATTTTTATACACAAAATGAAGAACTGTTAGTGCCACTGATAAATTATTTTCAAGACACTTGGATAGGGAGATTAGATAGAAGAAGACAACCCCTTTTTCCTGTAAATGTATGTAAAAAACTTACAGGCGTATTACAAAACTCCTCAATTTAATAAATAGGAAAACTACAATTGTTTTGCAAAACTAAGTTTGCATTGTCGTTAAACTTAATTGTTAATGTCAATTAAAATTAACTATTTATAGTAATTCAATAAAATTATGCGTCCTTTTTTCCCCACGTCCTTTTGACCCGCGTCCTTTTTCCTCGCGTCCTTTTTTCCCGCGCCCTTCTTTCCGCGTCATTTTTCCGCATCCTTTTGTCGTATATCCGCACCCAAAATAGTTTTACTCTATTTCGGTCTGCCAGTGTTCTTAGTTCTTAGATGCATTCCCTTACCAGCCTCGACGTAACTTCCTGACTCGATATGGCCTTAAGTGCCGCTTGGCTGTCTGACACTATTTGAATATGCTGATTTTCGTCAGCTCGTTCATTGTTCGTTTTTGCACATTGCAAAATTGCGTATACCTCGGCCTGAAATACCGAGGAATGTATTCCTATAGCATAGTTATGGTTAGTATCAGGGTTTTTGGAGAATACTCCTTCCTCAGTGCCTTCCGCAGTCTTAGACCCGTCTGTATACCAGGTTTGTTCCTGTCGTTGGGCATTGGGCTCCCTTATGGTGATCTTCGCTCTTTCCTGTATTAAAACCTCGAAGGGAGTATTAAAAGAGTACCTTTTGGTTATGTGGTCTGATCTCATGTCACTAACCTTGAGATACACATGTGACCTGGCCTAATGTCAAGATTTCCCAGTGTATTCTCTAATCTGTAAGCACCTAATCTTGCCTCCCCTTGTATCACATAGTGAAGAGGTGGGAGTCCTATTATTGCTTCCATTGCAGCAGTGGGGGTTGTTTTCATTGCCCCCGTTATTCGATGTTACATTTTGTTATTAAATATTACTCTTTGTCCTCCTACTTTTTGTTAATAAATGTTACTAAAAAAAAAAAAAAAAAAATAAGAAAGTAAAACGAAACAAAACTTATATTTCATTAACAAATTATTGCCTTAATTTTCACAACATCCTTGAGCAATATGTTGAGACATGCTTCTCTGTTTAAGTTCTCCTTGTTCACGTGTGCCTCGACTTTCGAGTTGATTATCTAGATTTTGATCGTCAGTTTCCACCTTGATCTTCGTTTCCATTGTCATCATTTAACTGGTCATTTAGGTGTTTTGACACATTATGGAACACTGATCATGACACAATAACCTTAGCCACGTTTTCTAATGACACGCTAACACAATTGGCAGGAATAGGAAAGCGATTTTTAACCTGTTCATAAACACTCTTTCAATAATAACTCTTTCTCGCGAGTGAGTTAAGTTGAAATATCTGTCTTGTTCGTTTCCTGGTTCCTGGAAAGTAGTTATAAGCCACGGAGAGAGTCCATTTCCAGAATCACCCAACAGACAGAAAGCCCCATCATAAAAAGAAATGTTGTTCTTTATGATGCTCCTTTTCCAGATTCTAGCATCATGAATGCTACCAGGCCCTTCAGCTAATATACTTGTGATTTTTTCAGCCGCATCGCAGGTTACCTGAACGTTTAAGCTGGGATAGCCTTTCCTGTTGATATATTCATCACCAAATAGTGAAGGATTTTTAATCTCTACATGAGTACAGTCTAGGGCTCCAATAACAGTAGACAACTGAAACCGATTTTGCCATAAAAGTGCTGCCTCATTAGTTTCGTCCAAAGTTGAAGGGAATTTTATCCATTTATTAGCCTTTTCAACTATTTTGTTCATTACAAAGTGGGTGGTTTTGGCTACAGTGCTTTGATGAACGCCTACGTTGTTGGCAACTCCACACTGAAAACCTGTAACAATGTTCATATTTATATTTTTTGACATTATAATCATACGAGTAACTGCATGCAATATATTAACAATAAAATGTTTTCTTTAATACTGTTCGAAAGGTTTCTAAATATTTTGAATCTGTCCAATGTGTTCTGGAAATCGATTGAATAGTGTTTTTACCAGCATTTGTTGAACATTTCTATTCTATTAAGTTTAAAAGGCATAGGAATATTATAAAATTGATTATTTTGTACTAATTGAAATTTCGTAATACTGAATAGGTATTGTTTCAATTGTAAAAATAATTTTAGGTATTCTGGTTAATTTAAAATATTTCAGCCATCAACCTTTTTCCAAAAACTTTAAAATCTTAAACAAAACTTTCAATTGCACACACAATTTTGTAAATAATAGGCACCTGGATCAGCAGGATAACGCAAAAGAATCTCCATCTTTTGGCGAGAAGAGAGTGCTCCACCTCGAGTCTCTTCGTGATCAGGCAAAAACTCAGATGTCAAAAAATCAATGTTCTCGTCCTCAAACCTTAGTAATTGTTTACACTAATTTATTTTTCTTCGTTCAAGGTATGTCTTTCTGCCACGAATTTGCATAAACGTCGCCATTCTGTTAGCTACTGACTGAAAATAGTTGTCGTACCACTGGCTTGAAAAATATTAAGAATATACTACCGCTTGTTGGTAAAAACTAATGTTCATTCATTCGGTAAGCTTAGAATATTCTAGTTCTCTGTTAAGCTTAGTATTTACTAGGGGTAGTATATTCTTTACAACTTTATTCATATAAAACATAAAATATACTTAAAATTACCTTAGTTTAAGCAAATACTAGTTTTTATTCATTCCACCCCTTTAATCAATATGTATACCGAATTTGCACAAGTACTGAAAATGCTGCTCAAAAAAATATTACATCCACAATCATTTTTGTTTCGCTTCTCCTGTAAAATTAACATTTATAAGGTTATGGTACTATTGAAACAGGGGTGCGATATATTTAATTCGATATTTCATGTATCGATATATTTTCGTCTCTTATTTTTTTTTTTTGATACGCTCGTGTTGCAGCTTTTGATATCGATCAAGAGTGGAGTGTTTTATGTTATCATCGGTTACAATTATTATTTTGCTTCATACACAGTAGCTAAACATACCTTAAAACATATTTTTTTATTTGAATAACAATTTCGTGAAATAAAATTAATATCATACGTGTATTTCAAGAAATGCATGCTCTGCTAAGTTTCCAGAAATATCTTTTGACGCTACAGAGACTTTCCTTCAAAATATTAAATGGGAATGCTTTTCATGCAACGTTCTGAAAATCATTTTCAAGGAAACAGCATAAATCTATTATTTCTCTTTTCAAAATATGAAAGTCTTTAGTTTTATACAGGAGCGAAGTTGCTAATGTAAAGAAGAATAGAAGTAGAATAATAAATCTTTGTTTTTGGTGATTAATGGTTATTAAATGATTGTTTAATGGTAATTAATTATCTAATTTG